GCCCCTATTCTGGAATACCCAGCACCGAAGAATTTGAAACAGCTGCGCACGTTCTTGGGGATGGCCTCATGGTACCGCCGCTCCATCGACGGATTCGCGGAGATGTCGACACCACTCACGGCCTTGCTGAAGAAAGGCCGGCGATGGAGTTGGGAAGAGGAGCAGGCCAGGGCGTTTGAAGCCATGAAGGAGGCCTTGATGACTCCGCCGACACTCGCTTATCCCGATTTTTCCCGCCTGTTCGTGCTACAGACGGATGCGAGCGCGGGAGGACTCGGAGCCGTGTTGAGCCTATTGTCCGCCGATGGCGAGCACGTGATCGCTTTCGCCAGTCGGACGCTATCGGACGCCGAAAAGAATTACACGGTAACCGAGCAAGAAGCGGTGGTGTGGGCGATCGGGAAGTTTCGGGCGTACCTGGAAGGATACAGCTTCACCGTAATCACCGACCACCACAGTTTAAGATGGCTCCACAACCTGAAGAACCCGACGGGCAGGTTGGTGCGCTGGGCACTGAATCTCCTGGAGTATGACTACGAGATAGTGCACCGGAAGGGAGCCTTACACCATGTACCATACGCCTTATCCAGGATGCATGAATCCGCCAGGAGGACGTGGCCGAGATCGAGGAAAAAAGGGACTCCTGGTACGAACAGCGATGGCAACAAGTGGAGAGGAACCCGAAGCAGTTCCCTGGATGGACCATCGACGGTGATAGGCTCTAGTACCGCCGGGTAGATCCCTTGCTCGCCGGAGTGCTGGACGCCGCCGACGAGTGGAAGCTAGTGGTGTCAGTCCGGGACAGGGAAACCGCCTGGCACGAGGCGCACGAGAAGCCCTCGGCAGGCCACCCGGGCGTAGAGAAGACTTATCGCCGATTGGCCAGAGATTGGTATTGGCCAGGAATGTACCACGACATAGTTCATTGGGTACGAACCTGCACGGTGTGCCAAGCACAGAAGGTGCAGCGGCAGCCGCCAGCAGGGCTAATGGGCCGACGGTTGGTGGAAGAACCGTGGACGGTAGTAGCCGCAGACATAATGGGGCCGTTTCCACCAAGCTGTGCGGGGAACGCATACCTGCTGGTCTTCCAAGATCTTTACACACGCTGGATAGAATGCGTGCCATTGCGGAAGGCCAACGGGAAGAACATTGCCAAGGCGTTCGAAGACCTGATCGTGTTCCGATTTGGAGCACCGGAGGTGCTACTCACGGATAACGGGACGGAGTTCGTGAACAGGACGGTGGATGAAGTGACCAAGGCTTATGGTATTCACCACTCCACAACGCCGCCGTATCACGCTCAGGCAAACCCGGTGGAGAGGGTGAACCGTCCATTGAAAACGATGATCGCCTGACTCCTGGAAGAGGACCACCGGGAGTGGGATGTCCACATCGCGGAATTCCGCTTCGCCGTAAATACCTCTGTGCATACGACCACGAAGCTAACGCCGGCGTTCCTGAATCTAGGAAGAGAGCCACGGGTAGGTCGCATCGAGGGAGGGGGCATCAGGCGCGAGGGATGAGAACTGCGGCCAGTGGAAGACTGGGCGGAAAGAATGACTCGATTGTCCGCGCTGAGGGACTTAGCCCAGCGACACATAGCGGAAGCCTGGCAACGGCAGGCCCACTATTATAACGCAAGAAGGAAGGACGGCGAGGGAATTCCAAGAGGGGGATAAGTTATGGAAAAGGAATCGAGTACTATCCTTCTCGGCGAATTGGATTGCGGCGAAATTAGCACCGAAATTCGCGGGACCCTATTGGATAGGACGCGTAATTTCTCCGGTCTTGTACGAACTCCGGATCGAACAGGGGAAACCGATCGGAAAGGTGCACATCAAGGACCTGAAGGCATGGAGGTCAGAAACAGGATTAGAAACGAGAACGATTCTGTTTCAGATTTACGAAAGCATGGCCGACCCAGCGAGTCCGGAGCGGATAGAGACCGGCGGAACGACGGGGAAGGTCGTGGTCGAACTCCTGCCGCAGGAACTCGAGGGCCTGAGGGCCATGTTGACCCGGGAGCGGGAGAAGGCCGCACGGGAGGAGGAGACGCGACTGAGCGCGTCACTCATCCGGGGTCTCCCGGTATGGGCCGTCGAGGACGCCCTCCTGGCCGACTACCCGGAGAGAGGGGAGGAGCGGGCCGACGAGGCGACACTGGAAGCCCGGGAGGAGAAGCCGCCGGCTTTAAAGGAGGCCGTGCGCCCGGCGCCTGCCCGACGGACCGGAGAGGTGAGCCCGCCCCACCCAGCACCGCGCCGAGCCCGGTCAAGGGTCCGCTGGGACGACGAGCCCACCGTCGAGGAAGACGATCCGGCGGAGGATGGCCCGGCGTCAACAGCGAGACCGGAGTCCGGCACCCAGTGGGAAGCCGCCTACGGCCGAGAGCGCGGCGCGGAGAAGCGAAAGCGGTTACGGGACCGATCGCAGTTAAGGGGTCCAACGAAGAAACCGCGGCCGAACAACGGAACTCTCGGCGAAAGCCAGGGTGAAGCCCTGGGCGCAGCGGTAGCCGCGGTCGGCCGACTCACGGTCGACCAGTGGAAAACCCTGAAGGGGTGGGTCGATTGTGGGGAGATCGGCCTTCGCGAGGCCCCGAAATGTTGGAATTGCGGAGCGACAGGCCATCGGCACCGGGACTGCCGGCAGCCGAAGCGTCGCTACTGCGAGAAGTGCAGCGAGCGAGGCACCGAACGGGACCGGTGTCTGCGCTGTGCTGCTAAGCGTGCCGCCGGGAACAGTTCCGGCCGCCTGTAGAAAGGGCACGGCGGCAGGCGAGGGGAAGTCCAGGGGTCCTAAGACCGTGCGTATTCCGGTCGACCCCTGGCCGGCCAGAGAAAGCCGAGCAACGATTCTGGTTCGGACCGTTGCGCGGTGTACATCGTCGTCTAGCTGCAAACGTGTCGTCTTTATTGAAAACGTGCTCGTAGCAAAAGTTATAATTATCAGAATACTCAATTCTGTTCCGTTATCATTATAATCTAGACTTTTTTACTTCAATTCAATTTAGCGATTATTTTAATCTGTATCTATTCTAGATTTATTTATTTAATAAACTAAATCAATTTTTCCTAACATAAGTTCGCGCGATTTAGGAGTGTTAATTTGGAGTGTAGCCCCAGTTTACCACGGAACGAGGAACTTGGGAGTCGACGTGCGTGGCCTGGTTTTTCTCCCCGGGGAATCTTGAGATTTATCTCACGCTTTATAAGATTCCATTGGGTTCAAACGCAGATAAGTCGTGTCGTCTCCTGTATCCTGTCCATGTCCTTTCGTTCCGTGCTGTTCTGTTTAACCCTGGGAGAAGGTTTTTTTTTGTTTTTTTTTTTAAGCTGTTCTTACCGTACAAACACACAATAATACTCCTAGTCGCAAATCGTTAGGCGGTATCACCGCGAATATTATCACTCTACTGTTCAGCTTGTAGATTTCAGTCTCCTTGAGTCGAGTTTGGGGAGTAATATTAAATTTTAGCTAGGCTCCATTGTCAGTAACATCAATCTGAACCTCCTCTCTTTCCCTGCGATTCATTAGTCAACATATTAGTTTTTTTGTTCTTTTTCTTTTTTTTTCTCTTCTATAACTTTAGTGGCCGCGTGTGACTTACCTTGTGATGGCAGAGACTGAGATCTTGAACAATAAAAAAAGAAATAGGGAATCATCTTCCCCTACTCTAGAAGCAACAGCCCTTTCGCCTCCTAATAAAATCTTACCGTTACCACCATCTAACCTACGAGAAAACATCAGGTCCCAGTTTTCCAACCGTTACTCTGAGGTTTCTAAGGCTCCCTTTATTGTATATATCTGCAACAGAGATGTATCCAAAAATATAGCTAGATACCACCCTTTTTCCATAGCGAAGAGACTAGTTAATTTCCAGGGCATCTTGACTCTCTCCAGAGATGGTAGGGATAAGCTGATAGTTACCTTTGAATCACACTCATATGCCAACGAATTTGTCTGCTCAATTCAGAACTCGGATAACGAATGGTGGGCCTATATTCCTGACTTCAAAACTACAAAAGTGGGTGTTATTAGGAATGTCGATCCCGAATTGTCTATCGAATTCATTTCCGAAGGCATTTCTTCCAAGGTTCAGGATCCCCATACTCCGGAAGTAATCCGGATTGAAAGAATATTTCGCACCGCCATAGGCGTTGATGGCTCGAGAACGAGGGTTCCCTCTTCCGCAATTAAAGTAGTGTTTGCAGGTGACTCTCTCCCGGGGAGCATCAATGTATGGCTGGTTGAATGCCCAATTGAGCCATATATACCCCCCATTATACGGTGTTTCTCTTTCCAACGTTTTGGACACGTTACCTCCAACTGTAGAAGTTCCTTGAGATGTGTCAACTGTGGGGGTGAACATGCAATTAATGCTTGCGAGTCAAATTCACAATATTGTGTCAACTGCTCCAGCTGCGATCACAGAGCCGACTCAGTTAGATGCCCAGTTTTCACCCTTCAAAAAAAGATCAGACAATTGATGGCTCATGAAGGCATCTCTTACAAAGAGGCTAATTTAAAGTGCGGGGTCCCTCTTACCAAACCTAGAGATACAATTGCTGACCAATTCCACAACTCGGCTGAAGTGGAAGAAGTTCAGGGGCTTAATCCAGGGCTTCAGAACGAAATAGGTTGCGATCCCCAGATCTCAGATCCCGATCATCATCCTGTCAAGAACCAGAATCTTTCTGTTGGTGCTACTCTCTCTAAAATCAGATACTAAATCTTAAGGAATTTATCAGTAGAGAAGTAAACAAAAAAGTTGGCTCCATTATTGGCTTCATAGAGGAGAGTATGATAAGGCTCCTAAATGAACAATCCCTGAGGACTCTATAAGAGGGGTATGTTCGGAAGCCTTCCAAATATAGAACTATACTTTGCTTTAGGTCTAGCATACATAAGTTTGATTGGATCAATTTTCTGAACGTTTATGTTTAAATAGTTTTGTTTATATATTTATATATGTTTATCGTTGTGCAGCTACCTAGTTAAATAGTTGATTCATTTAATTTATTTATTTAGTAAACCAATTGTGCTTACCTAGATTCAATTAGAAATGGCCCCTATAAATAATTTGAGAATTATTCAATGGAATGCACGCAGTTTAAGGTCTTCTATTTCAGAACTCCAGATTTTAGCCAAAGATGCACATGTCCTCTGTATCTCGGAGACGTGGTGGAATCCTGATCAACAAATAAAAATTAAGAATTTTAAAATCGTCAGAAAAGACAGAATCACTGGTGGAAGCTATGGCGGGGTGGCGATTCTATTGAGGGATTCAATGCAATTTAGAGTTATTAATATACCTCCCGTCATTACTGGCGGATTGGAGATGGTTGGCGTAGAACTTCTATCTGGACCTATCTCTGCTCCTTTAAGGATTTTCTCTTTATATAGGCCTCCCAACTTTTCTACTTCTTCTACAAATTGGATAACCTTTCTCAATCAGTTGTCGCAGGCGAACACCTTAATCTGTGGAGACTTTAATGCCCAGAACCCGATATGGGCTAGCTCGGGCTCCAACCAAGCGGGTATTAACTTATCAAATGCTCTTGATAATTCGGACTTCTCTGTCATTAACAATGGTAGTGCTACTAGGATCACTTACTCGATGCTTAATTCCAGTGTGCCAGATATCACCCTGGCTTCTTCGGACATTCTCTTATCTGTTTTTTGGAAGACTATGGACGATCCAGCCGGCAGTGATCATCTTCCCATCTTAATTTCGGTGAACTCATTCCATGTTGTTTCCTCTAGAGGCCGGCCTAGGTTAAACATGGATGATGTTGACTGGAATAAATTTGGTCAAAGATCTAAGCTCTTCACATTAGACAATGACTCCTTCAATACCAACCTTGAGGAGAAGTACAGTCGTTTTACAGAACATCTCCTTGAATCGGCTGAGAAGTCCGGGGCTCATCGTGCAGGTGGTAAATTGAGGAACCTCACAGCTCCTCCAGCTCCTTGGTGGAATGCTGAATGTCGGAAGGCGCTTGCTGAGAGAAAGGCAGCCTTTGCAAAAATTAAGTATCAACCTACTCCTGATAACCTGGAAATGTACAAAATCAAACTAAAAAACTCCAGGAAAGTCTTCTCTAGGGAGAAACGGAGTAGTTTCAAAAGGTTTTGTTCATCTATAAATAATAAGATGGATCCCTCTAAGATGTGGAATATAATCAAAGCTTTCAAATCTAGATCACTAGTGAATTTGTCTGCCGATCAAGGTCGGCATCGGTTCTCCATTCCATCGATAAAATAGCTCCTCCGATGATCCATATTCCTCCTCCCCTGAATCCATTTTATAGTCCTTTAATAGAATTATTTTCGGGTATTAGCTTTGAAGAATTGATATCTGCTATAAACCGTTCTAAGACTAAATCTGCAGCAGGCCCGGACCTTATTAATAACAATTTGTTCAAAAACTTACCTACTGAAGCTCTTGAAATTCTCCGTGGCCTACTTGAAGGGTTCTACAATTCCGGCTCTGTTCCAGAAGACTGGAAAAAATTTAATGTGTCATTATTACCTAAACCTAAAGGCGACGGTTTCAGACCGATCGCCCTTTCTTCTTGCTGTTTAAAGATATTTGAAAGAATTATTCTAACTAAAATCGAATGGTGGATCGAAAACAATCGGTTTATTCCCAAAAATCAGTTTGGATTCAGAAAGGGCAGATCATGTTCTGACAACCTGGCCATCCTCTGTACTGACATCAACCTCACTTTCGTAAGAGGAGAATCGCTTGGAGCGGTATTCTTGGACTTGGCTGGAGCATATGATAATGTCCTCCCTTATATCCTTATCCAAGAACTAATCGACATCGGTCTCCCTTCTAATATTATATCCTGCATCGCTTCTATCCTCACTACACGGACTGCACATTTCTATCATGGATCATCCCTCATAGGCTCTAGAATTATGGAAATAGGATTACCCCAAGGTACAGTCCTTAGTCCTTTACTATTTAATATATATATAAGGAATATCTTGTTACATGTTGGTTCACTATGTCGCGTTCTATTATATGCAGATGACATCGTTATTTATTTCTCGCATGAAGATCCCGCATACATCACTTCGGTTCTCAACTCTGCACTTGTATCACTATCAATGTGGCTTAAAAATATAGGCCTTTCCATTTCTCCTAGGAAATCTCAATTTACAATTTTCTCACGGAAAAGGAATGACTGGCACAATTACTCAGTCCTCATAGATAATCACCCGATCCATTGATCCCCGGTTGCAAAATTCCTCGGATTTTGGCTTGACCATAAACTCAGTTGGAACCAGCATATTCGTAAGACCACAGAAAAAGCTCGCGCTTCTCTTCGGGTCATTAATGCGATCTCGCGAATAAACTGGGGAGCTCATCCTAATATATTATTATTAGTATACAACGCCTTAACGAGATCCATAATAGACTGGGGATCATTATGCTATGGGAATGGCAATACTAGCTCTCTCCTAGCTCTCGACCGCATTCAGTACGCGGCACTGCGCTCTGCCCTGGGACTCATGATATCCACTCCCACCAATGCTATCTTGGCTATGGCAGGCGAACCGCCTCTTTGTCTGATAAGGCGATTCTTATCGTCGAGATATATAATTAGAACCTTATCAATAAGGGGTCACCCTATTCATGGGAAAATGAAGCTTCTGGAGGAATTGGTAGATCGGTCTAATAATAAAAAGAACTCACCTTTTCTTTTTTCAAACTGGTTAGCCTCCAGGAGATATCAAGATAGAATCATCGAACATCCACTTCCTATTTGCTTTTCCATTCGACTAGCAGTCCAATTCCTTCATATGAATGTCAACCTTGAGTTTGGTACTACACTAAGGGGGGTGGAGAACCCCAATGATAGATTATCCACTTACTTACGTAATGAATTCCGAAACTGGATATATATCTATACAGACGGGTCGCGATCCTCCTCCCCTGAGAGATGTGGAGCAGCAATCTTTGACAAGAACCTTGATTTATCCAGGAAGTTTAGGTATAGCAATAAAGCCTCTATCTTCTTTGCGGAAGCATCTGCTATTCTCGAAGCCCTCCAACTGATTCAAAATAAAAAGATTATGGAAACTGTTATCCTATCAGACACACGAAGCACCTTGCAGTGTCTTGCTAATAGTACGTTCAACCCAAAAATTTACGCCGAAAAATTATTGTTGCTGGCTACACAATGGACAAATTCCAAGTAACATAGGAACCTATCATCTTTCTGGACAACTTTATCTACTCCTACCTGACTTTTACGGACCAGTTACTGGCACATCTCCTGATTGTGGAGGCAGCCATAAGGAAAGGAAGGAAGGAAAGCCGAGCAACGGAGTCCGGCTCAGCGAGAAGACCTTGCCGGGCCCACGAACGTCATAGAAGAAGACACAACGGCACCTGAGGGAAGCCGAGAAGACAAGCAAGCGAATGCGGTAGAGCGGCACCAAAGGGAAGCCGCCACGCAAAACGGGAGCAACAAGGCGGAACGCATCTTCCCTTAGTGACAGATACGTCCCGGTTAA